GGCATTCCTGTTCTGACTGTCTTTTAAGAGGGGCAAAACATGGGTCTCTCCAGCAATTTGATGCCTATAGTTCTTAGAAAGCAGCTGTTGTGTTGTTTTGTTTTGTTTTGTTTCTGGAGGAATTTAAAAAGTTGATCTTGTTACCTTTGGCTTGATATATTAAAATTTCTTTGGTTTGTTTTTTGGTGCATGTCATGTCATGGGAAAGCCAGGTTCCCAGGAGCGGACTTAAACTGTATTGTGCTTGCAAAGAAAGCAACTGTCTGGGTAAAGGGATCCACTTAAACAGCACAATCAACGATTTCTTAAGTATGTACTTCATCTAAATAGACTAAAATGTAGTCATTCCCTTAAGCATAATGGCTGTTGAGCACAAAAGAGAGGCAAGAACTCTTGACCTTGAGTTCTAACTATGGCTCCTCCTATGATCAGGAGGTCGAAGTACAGACTTTATGGTTCATTCCCTCCAACATTAGTGGGGTGCGTCTCACCAACTTCCTTATGTCACATGTGTACTAAGACTGTATACAGAAGAATTAAGCATCAGATGACCTTGCAGGTCTCTCGTGGTCCTCAGATTTTATGACTCTAAGATGAGCTGCCTAGTGTGCTCCTTTCTGGCTCCCTCGTGAAGGCAGGAACCTTCTAGGCTCCCAGGACATCATACAGGAAGTTCCTGTGCTCATTCTTCTGTCGTGTCTTAGGACATTGCCAAGGGGTTTACTCCCTTGAGCTTTTTGCTGAAAAAATATTTGCAAAGACATTTAAGGAAAAATGCTGGCTCCATGCCACTGGTTAGACTCTTCCACCATTGGTTTGGTTGCTCCTAACCACAGAAAGAGAAGCTCCTGCAGGACGTGCCATGCAGCACACAAAGGTCAGGGCAACTGCAGATCGTTGTTCAAAGGGATCTTACAGATCCTCTAAACTTACCAGTGGGAGACCAGAGAAGTTATGCCATTTATCCAAGGTCAAAGGGAGTGGCAGAGGCAATAACAAGAACCAAGGGCCTGTGCATTCAACAGATACCTCTGGGTGTTCAGAAATATACCAATCCCTAGGTAGACAGAGATGAGAAAGAAAGGCTCACACTGTACTTAGGAAGTGGTGGCTGGGATGTCACTGGGGGAGATATATGTAAACAAATGTATGATCACTCTATGACATGGTAAAGTTTGTAGTAAAAGTTGGAAACCAGAGAAAGGCTCTTTGGACAAAGTGACAGAATGTTGTAATACATTTGAGGAACGTGTAGAAATTCTGTGTGGCCAGGACCTGGGAGCCATGGAAAGAAGAGGCAGAAAAGAAGCTGGAGAGGAAGTGGAGTCAAGGGCCTTGTGTCAAAATAGCATCTGGACGTTGTCCTCTAGGCAGTGGGGCCATCAGACCTTTGGAACAGCAGGGCATCCAGGCAGCAGTGGTGGCTGGGGCCGTGGAGTGAGGAGGAAAACAGACAGAGAGGGCTGCATGAGAGCCGTCTCTCATAGAAACCAGAACTTGAGGAGGGACTTCAAGGATGATTTTTCTATTTCTAGCTTGGAAAAGTAGGTGGGTATTATGGGTTTCATTGTGTCCCCTCCAAAGACATGTTGAAGTCCTAACACTCTGTTTAGGTATCTGTGTGAATGTGACCTTATTTGGAAACAGGATTGTTGCAGATGTAATCAGGTTAAGGTGAGCTCATACTTGATTAGGCATTTATATGCTACTAGGGGAGAAAGCAAATAAAAATACAAAACAGTAAGTAATGTAATTTCAGACTGTGAAGAAAATGTAGCAGCGTAAGGATAGGGAATAGGTGAGTGATGGAGCAGAAGTCCATGACCCCTCACCACCTCTCAACGGAGCTCAATAGAGACATAATCCTCCTGGAGGATGGTCACTTCCACTGCCCCATCATACCTCACCTCAGAATGCAGTGAGAACAAATTCACAAAGGAGCAACTTCACAGGAAAGGGGAGTGTGCATCAGAGAAAGAACACAAGGGCAGAAATGATTCTGGGGTACCAAGTCCTTTCTTGTGAGTATGGACAGCCTCTGGTATCTTTTTTGTGAGTATGGTCAGCCTCTTAAAAAACTTTTTTATTTACTTATTAATTTTTAAAAATTGAAATGTAGTTGATGTACAATATTATGTTAGTTTCAGGTGTACTACCTAGTGATGTGACACTTGCCTACATTATGAAATGATCACCAGGGTAAGTCTAGTAACATCTGTCACCATACAAAGTTATTGCTGTACTACTGACCATATTGCTCAACTTCTTAAAGGACAGGTGATGTCTCTACTGCCTTCTCAGAGTGTAGCCCCTGGGCCATCAACATCACCTGGGAACTTGGTGGAAGTGCAAATTCCGGGGCCTGATCCCAGACCCACAGATCAGAAACTCTGGGGGCCCAGCCACCTGTGTTATAACAGCTCTCCTGGTGAGTCCCATGCACTCTGAAATTTGACAACCACTGGTCAATAGAAATATTTAATTGGTTCTAGAGTGCAGTAAGAATGCCTTCCAGTTCTTGCTTGCTGGCTGTGTCTCTCGACATTGCACTGATGGTCTTATGGGCATATATTGTTTAATCTGCACGGGAAGTGTTCTTTTTTTTTAAAAAAAATTTTGTTTATTTATCTTTTTGGCCGTGCCATGCGGCACGTAGGATCTTAGTTCCCCGACCAGGGAGATCGAACCCGTGCTCCATGCAGTGGAAGCAAGGAGTCTTAACCACTGGACCACCAGGGAAGTCCCCAGGAAATGTTCTCATTTCCACTTTGTAGCAGAGGGCAGTGAAGCTTAGAGAGTCCCGACAATGTGCCAGGTGACAAGGCCAGGACTCAAATTCCCATCTTCCCGACAGCGCCCCACCACGGACTGTGATAATCCGTGAGTTTATCCTGAGTAAGAGACTCCCGGGCTGAACTTCTCAGCCCTTGCATGTCCGTGGAATCACACGATCTCTTAACATGCTTCGCCATAATCTCCAACTCCTTTTGCAATGTATGCACATCCTTTGAATTCTTTAAATCTGCTCACCCTCATGAAATATTTGCATGTCAAGAAACTTTTTCCCCACAGTGGACAGAAAGGCACATAAATGACCAAAATGTTCATAAACAAATTAGGTTCTCCAAACGATGACAGACACTTTTACTCAGCAAATGAATAGAAATTCCTAATATTTCGGGAAGGAACTGAGAAGCATGCCTAAGAGCAAATTAAGCAGGTGATTGCCTGTAAGGAAACTGGCTTGAGAACAGAACTGATCATTCTGAGGAAAGGGAAATGTGTGTTCCCCTTGGGCTGTTTGTCCTGATTCTTGTTTGTTCTTGGATCATCAGGCCTGCTTTGTTTTTCACCTCTGAGCCCTCTCTCCCATCTGGGAGGCCCTGCGCTCGGTCTCAGCGTTGCCACGCTCAGTGCAGCCCAGGGTGACCTGTGTCCCAGATGAGACAGTTCAGCCCATGACTCTGGGACCTAGTTCCAAGCTTGTGAGTCAGCACCAGAAACCACATTCCCACCCTGCTCACTGGGTCTAAATCCTCAGCCTGGGAACCTCTAGGTCTGAAAGCTCTTCTTTCTCTTGCTGGAAATCCCTCCTCCAGCCTCTGGACCCTGGCCATGGGTTTGGGCCCTTGCCCCCTTCTGACAACGTTCATTCTATTTGTCCGCTCTGAAGTGGATTTCGTCACCAGCTGATAAGCCCTGACTGTTGACGCTTAGAGTTAGAACACATTCTGATCCTCTGAGTGCAAAACTTGACTGTGCTGAGGAAAAACTAAGATTCCTGGGCCCCATCCTTAAATGGTTTGATTCAGTGGGTCAGGGCCCTGGAACCTGTATTTCTAACCAGCCTCCCCTGACTCTGATTCAGCCAGTTTATTGACCAGCATTTCAGAACCTCTCTCTAAAACCTTCTCCCTACCTAAGAGATGTGGGCAGTGCTGCAGAGGTGCAGTGCACGCCCATGTGCAAAGGAGGGCCTCCATTTTGGTAATTTCTCAGGGTCTCAGGATTGCAAACAAGGGCCATGGGGGCAGACAGAAACACAATGAAGACAAAGTTCAAGGGCGGCTTGGGCTGGGGGGGAGGCAGAGAAGAGATTCTGTGTCCTAGCAAACAGTGTGCGAGAGAATGGCCTCTGGGCCACCCCCCGGCTTCTCATCCTGGCTCAGCCACTTCCTGGTCGGGAGTCTCTGTGCCCAGGTTCCACATCTACAAACCAGGGAGAATTGTGGCTCTCACCTCATAAGGCTGATAAAGGGATTAAGTGAGTTAATATATGGAAAGTACTTAAATAATTGCATTATACATGAAACATTTCTCGTGTGCTTTTTGTTCATTAAGAAATGTCATTTTCTGACAAAGGGATAGAAATGAAGAATAGCTTAGTGGTGGCCAGGGGGTAAGATGGGGATGGGAATAGGAGGGAAGTGGGTGTAGTTATAAAGGAGGGTACCTTGTGGTGATGGGAATGCTCTGAATCTTGACTGGACCAATGTCAATATCCTGGTTATGACATGGTACCACAGTTTTGCCAGATGTTACCATTGGAATAAACTGGGTAAATGGCACATGGGACCTCTCTGTAGTATTTCTTACAATTGCATATGGATGTACAATTCTCAAAATAAAGTTTAATTAAAAAAGAAAAGAAAAGGCATTTCCTTGAAACTGCTGCAATTTTTTTTTTTTTTTTTTTTTTTGCTGTACGCAGGCCTTTCACTGTTGTGGCCTCTCCCGTTGCAGAGCACAGGCTCCGGACGCACAGGCTCAGTGGCCATGGCTCACGGACCCAGCCGCTCCGCAGCATGTGGGATCTTCCCGGACTGGGGCACAAACCCGCGTCCCCTGCATCAGCAGGTGGACTCTCTCAACCACTGCGCCACCAGGGAAGCCCCAAACTGCTGCATTTTTAAAAGACAAATGGGAACAGTAGAAGGGGATGCCCAGGCTGCCTGTGCCCCATCGGGGTTTTGAGAATGGTTGGGTCAAGGCGATACCCAACTCCTGGAGTAACAGGTGTGTGACAGTGGCACACGAGTGTGGGTGCCTCTGAAATGATGGAGTGGGTTCATGATCATCTCCAGTGACAGGGTTCTTGGCAAAGAATACGTTTGCTACCAATGTAAATGTAAGCACTGTCCTTAATTTGTGAAAATGATGTAAACCTATAGTATAGACTGGCCCACTTCCTTGGGAGAGGTGACAGCTTTGCCAGGAGCACATATGCAAACACAGAGTCCAGCTTCGGACGTTTCCAGAAACATGGTAACAGAGTCTTCCTGGGGGTGGATGGGTGACAGATGTACAAAGGTGCCTCACCAGGAACCTGGTCTCGTTAACACCTGCTCCATACACTTCTATCCCAGAAGGAAACAGAGGAACCCCAATTCAGCAAGGAGAAATTCTGGGGGATTTTAGGGAAGGGCAATATTGGGGTTGGGGATTAAGAGGTACAAACCGTTAGGTATAAAATAAGCTACAAAGATATACTGTATAACACAGGGAATATAGCCAATATTTTATAATAACTATAAATGGAGTATAACCTTTAAAAATTGTGAATCGCTATATTGTACACCTGTAACTTATATACCATTGCAAAGCAGCTATACTTCAATTTAAAAATAATAAAAAATGAAGTGTATTTGTAGGAAAAAGAAGAAATTCTGTACACAGCCCTGCACTGGGGCCAAGTGGAATGTGCTAACCCCCACTCTCTGGTGTGAGGCTGTGAAGGGAAAGGAATCTGTGAGGTCAGAGAAAATGGCATGGCCAGAACAGCTGCATAAATTCCCTGAGTTCATTTCTAGGGGTCAGTCATTACAGCTGGCAGATAAAAGCTACTTCTGCCCAACCTTCCAAAATATGGTGCTAATGTCAACCTTACCAGACACCTGGTAATACATATTGCCTTTTGAAAATATGCACCTTAAAAAGTTTCAAGACCCAGTAATGCTATTTTTAGAAAAAAATATATTTTCCTATTTTTTGTATTTTCTATATTTTTCTAGAAAATCTTGCCAACTTCCTAATTTCTAAAAATGTCTTACAATGGAATAAGAGTCTGATAAATAAAGAACTAAAAGACTGATTGTCTTGTCAATAAAATTGTAACTAAAATTTGTTCAAAATATAGAGTTCTCTTTTTCATAAAGTAATGAAGAAATCCAGACAGACTGACTTGAAAGTTTTAGACTCAGATAAACAGGCTTTGGAGAAATGATCTGAGTTGGTAGAAATGTTTCCCCCTTTCCTATTTTGGTTTATAATAAAAAGCTTATTATGTTATACTTGTAGTTAACTGTACAACACTTAACATTTTTCTTCTTAAAAGGAACATTACCTTAAATTGCTTACAGATCTAAAGTAAGGACTTCTTAAACCTACCTTTAAAACAAAGCAGTAGTCAGTGGGTGCTTTGTATTTCATTTTACACTGAATCCCATAGTAAATGTTGACATTTTCAAACTGTATAAAACATGCCAGATCTCGAGATGTCTGAAAGAGAAGGAAAAAATAACCTCAACCTAGCTGACAAGTAATATTTTTCTAAGGTCGTTCTTCACGGCACAACGAAGCATTACATTTTAGTAGGAAAATACAGAATTTCAGGTAATTTATATAAGTATCTACCATGTATAGCTTTCTAAAAGCCAAGCCTACATTTTAAGAAGGAAAGAGCACATCCAGGCAAAACAGCAAGCCACAGACCAAAAGTGGAGCAAAAGATTATACTGCTGTTCCAGCACCTACGCGTGGACTCCCAGAGATGACTGGAATCATTATTGATGGGGTTCAGACAAGGTGACCGAGCACCTCGTCAAATATTTCATTTTGTCTTTTGCCATCCTTAGTCAGTGATGGATTTCATGACTGAGCATTTAGAAAAAAGTCCCCCTCAGGATGGACAATGAGAGGTAAGTTTGATGCTCAGAAAATTCGCGCACACCTCATACACTTCTTCCGGAGGAGAAAGGATTCCTTTCATGCCTTCTCTTCCGGGCTGTTGGTGTTGCTGTGGAAACAGAATCCTCTCCTCCACATATAATAAGCATTGAGAAGACATCAACCTCTAATCTACATATTCGGTTACACTTCCATTACCAATTTGTTCTGTTACTTTCCCCCCCCTCACGTTCTATAATTCTTTACTGAGTTAACGAATAAAAAAATAAAGGGTAGAATTGCTACATCTCAATGCACAACTATTCCTTTATATATGGTAGTATACTTTTTTCTTGTAAGATATTTTCTTCTGGATTGTCAATGTTTTCGTGTTTTTAATTAGAAAAATAAAACATATTCATCATAATTTAAAAAATAAGTTATTTTATATATAGTAAAATAAAAATCTTCCTTCATCACTCTTTTTTTTCTAATTTCATTCTCTTCTCCAGAGAAGACATTCTTCCAAATGTTTTTGGGGATACATTTATATACCTATGTATGTGTATACACACCCATATACATATATACAATTATTAAAATATAAATGAGATTTTACTCTCAATATTTTTCCATGACTTTGTTCTTTTTCTTAACAATATATCTTGGGGTCTTTCTATGTTAGGACATATGAAAGGACATATCACACTCTTTGTATAGCTGCATAACATTACACTGTATAGATGTAGCTATTTATTCCACCATCCTACTATAGATGACTAGAGGTTACTTCGACATTTTGCTATTACAAAATATATTGTGCATATGAGCAAATGTTTCTGTGGGGTAGACTGCCAAACATGGAGCTGTCCTTGGAAGGGGTATTCCCTATTACATTTGCAAAAATTTTGCTAAACTGTCCCCCAAGATGGCTGTACTAGCTTACATTACAAACTTCTGTACATAAGAGTGCCCATTTTTCTTACCCACTCCTGATGAAATTTGCATATCATCAATATTGTTAGTGTTATCAATCTCACGGGAGGAAAAATTTCACTTACTTACATTTTCCCAATTACTAATAAGATAGAGCAACTTTTTAATTATTCACTGGCTACTGATATTTCTGTTTCTGTGAATTCTCACTTAATAAGCATTGCTGTTTTTCTTAATGAGTTGTTGAAGTCTTTATGTTTTATGGATATTCATACCAGGTTATACATGCTGCAAATGTACTCTCGGACTCTGGAGCTAGTCTTTAACTTCTTGTTTGGTATCTCTGGCCATAAGGAGTTAAACACAACTTTATACAGTCAAATATGCCAATTTTCTTTGTTATAATTTTGAGTTTTTAGTCTTGTTTAAGAAGGCTTCCCCACTGCCAAATTATGAGAATACTGACCATATATTTTCTCCTAATATTTTGTAATTTTGTCCAAATACATTTAATCAACCTAAGATTTAATTTGGAACATGGTATGAGGTAGGAAATGATATTTTTCCAAATGCATATACAATTATTTCAATGCTATTTGTTGAGTATCACATTCTTTCCCCACTGCTATAAAATGCTCACTTGAATTTCTCTTACATTAGATGGCTCTCTGTTGATCTGTTTTCTCTTCCTGCACTGTTTTTGTCTAATGTTTTGACATTTGGGAGGAGGGGTTCTTCCATAATGTTCTTTAAAATTTTTGTGTGTGTCTATTTTGGAACCGCATCTCTTTCTGATGAATTTTAGAATCAGTTTTCGAACTTCATAAAGAATCAATCCTATTGAAATTTTTTTTTTTTTTTTTTTTTTTTTGGTATGCGGGCCTCTC